CCCTGATGGGGGCTTCCGTCACCTGCCCGGACCACGCAGCACTCTAGCCAGCCTCCTTGCCTGCCTCTTGAGACTGTCCTGCCACAGTCCTGAGACGCTTTTACAGGAAGTAACCCAGAGAGCCTTCCTCCTCCTCCTCAAAAGCACTAGTAGGTTCCCAGCCACATTCACAGCGAAAGCCACCGCCTGGCTGGGGCTGTGCCCTCGCCCTGAGCGGCCCTGCTTACCTGTCTCCCTCCCACCTTCTGCTCCAGCCATGACGCCTTTCTCCACCTCGGAGCCAGGACACTTCATGTGACTGATTCTCATCCTCCTGACCTTCATTTCCTCCAAAGTGCCTGTCCGGGGCCTCATCTCAGGCATTCTCTGTCTCAGGACTCCATTTTTTCTAACCATGATTTATATCATTATTATTGTTTGTCTATCAATATGCTTATTTTCTACGTATTGTTGGCTTCCCACTAGATCAGAAGCTCCCTGAGGGCAGCAGACCTAGCGGTCTCGTTCACGGGGTGTCTTCTCAGGGCAGTGGGAGGTGCTCAAATATTGTCATTGAAAAATAAGTAAGTTTTCCTCCTGCCCACCCCCAGATAAACAGCCTTCTTTATCTATATTTTTTCAAATCCCCCGTCTTCACAAAACACACTTTTAATCCACTCGCTGTGCATCGCTTCACCTTCATAGAACTTAACGTAGCTCTAAAGCAGAAGCAGGTCCGAAAAGAAGGAAGTTGACAAAAAATTAAAGGGAGGCACTAGAAGAGAAGGAAAGAAGCAGGTTCATAAATGAGCAGCAGAGGGAAAGAAAGGCCCTTACCTAATTCTCTTTGATGGCCACTCCAGTTGCTGATGGCTGTCTTTTACAGCAAAGAAGGAAAAGCAGCATGTCCATGGCCTTGTCCCTTTATTTTTGCATATCTGTAACATAAGTGTATGATTTACATTTTCGCTCGGCATGGAACTGAGCAAAGAGGGAAAGAACACTTCTCTTCATTCTCTCTCCTTTGCTACCTGCTGTTTTTACTTCCACTGTGAATTAGCCTGTGAAAATCGTTCTCCAAACTCAACGGGGGACTAGTTCAACAAAGAGAAGGCTCATTCCACGAGGGAGCGGAAGGGAACGTGTGCTCCTGAACGCATCCTGTGGAAAGTCTGCTCTGTTTTTCCAGAATTACAGCTTTGCTTTGGAAAGCGATGCTGATGATGCCAATACACTCTCCTCATGGCCAGCAGTGCCCCCCACACCTGCTATACCTCAAGTTTATCCCCACCTGGTCATGGATACAGCTGTGCCTGTTTAGATTCTACAAGGAATAATAAGTAAATTAGTGTTCAAACAAACAAACAAACAAAACCCAGGAACACCACCTAGTACTAACAGCTGCACATCAGACTATATGTCTGCCGATTTATTCCAGGTGTGCAGACATATGAGAGCCTGTGGACTGAACCTGAGTCCCCTTTGTGGAACTTAGATTTCAATATACAGATGTACATGTGGAAATACAAGCTCATGAAGGCCCCTAACCAGACAGTCTATAGAACATAATCATTGTTGACTTGAGAAGTGAACCTGGTGACCAGCTCACACCGTGTTTTGTTAGGACCTATTTCCGAATAACACTGATGAGGTAATAATGACCAGGAATGCTTATTCTGACAACTCACATCGTTTTTAAGAAGTCAGGGGAAGTGACTTGTTCAAAGCCAGCTAGTGGTGGTAGAACGGGCTGGGATCTGTGTCCCGTATGTCATGCTTGAATCCCTCCCATTCAAGGGCTTATGCTCCTTTACATTCTATGGTGGTTTATGTGTTCTCTCCATCAACGCTAATGAAAATATAAACTTAACGTTGGTTTAATGCTCAGCCTATTTAATTTAAAATAGGACTTGTGAAATAAAATAGTTCTAAAAACACTTCTACTTTTAGTTTATCAGAAAAGTGAATGAGTATCACTCTTTTGTTTTTTATCTCTAGGTGAAGATGCTGCCAACTCCTTCTAAATTTCATTACATTTTCAATCTTCGAGATCTTTCCAGAATTTGGCAAGGGATGTTAAACATAAGAGCTGACGAGTGTAATTCGATCTCTGTTCTCCTGTCACTTTTCAAACACGAGTGCAACAGAGTCATTGCAGACAGGTGTGTATCACAGTGCCTGGATTCAATGTTCTATGT